CATGAGCCCTGCCCACCCTGGCTCCCAGCCACTAGCAGATGGACCTTATTTATGGATTAATTACATTGGTAATTTATTTCAACTGCAACACAATGGCTGGATATTGGGAGTTGGGAGCATTGGAGAAATCCCCAACTCCCCTTGCCTGTCTAATGTAGCTAGGCCTGATCCTTTATTTCTCACTAGCCCTCAAAAGTTACCATGAGCCCTGCCCACCCTGGCTCCCAGCCACTAGCAGATGGACCTTATTTATGGATTAATTACATTGGTAATTTATTTCAACTGCAACACAATGGCTGGATATTGGGAGTTGGGAGCATTGGAGAAATCCCCAACTCCCCTTGCCTGTCTAATGTAGCTAGGCCTGATCCTTTATTTCTCACTAGCCCTCAAAAGTTACACGCAGCCAGTGCATGCTCAGCGGTCCCTCACAGGACACGGACAGCAAGTGAGAGGTGGGGAAGCCGCCGGCCCCCGAGGGTCCGCGCGGAGCCCAGCTCCCGGTTCCCGCCGGCCCCCGAGGGTCCGCGCGGAGCCCAGCTCCCGGTTCCCGCCGGCCCCCGAGGGTCCGCGCGGAGCCCAGCTCCCGGTTCCCGCCGGCCCCCGAGGGTCCGCGCGGAGCCCAGCTCCCGGTTCCCGCCGGCCCCCGAGGGTCCGCGCGGAGCCCAGCTCCCGGTTCCCGCCGGCCCCCGAGGGTCCGCGCGGAGCCCAGCTCCCGGTTCCCGCCGGCCCCCGAGGGTCCGCGCGGAGCCCAGCTCCCAGAGCACATTTTGACAAGAACATTTTTCAATCACGGGAGCACAATAAGCACCCTAAGAACGACAGGCACATCTACATTGCAGAGGAAGAGCCAAGCTATTCCTTTCGATCTCAAGCGAAGACAGCCAATTGGAAGGGAGGGGCGCTCCGGTCGATGCTGGTAGCCCTGCTTTCACAAGGTGCAAGGGAAGTCGAAGGGAGCGTGTTCTTCCCTCCACTTTCTGCAGGCGAGACAGCACCGAACGCTGAGTTAAGCTACTCTGGCTTCAGCTACACAATGAACACAGCTGAAGTTGCGTATCTTAACTCCACTTCGTCGTGTGGGGCAGACGCACCCTTACTGTCCTTCATGCCACTCTGGCAACGTACTGGATCCTTCATGCTTTGTTCCTGTTTTATCCTCCTGGGGAAATTCACAAGAAAATGGAAACAACTTACTTAGCAAACACATTGCTGCATTCAGCTCTGCCCAATGGGAACAGGGCCTGTTCCACTCCTACTTCCTCGGAAACACCCTGAAGCCCTGCCCCTCCACGCTGCGAGGACAGAGTCTCAGTCTCTCTCGCACGCACACGACTACCCAAGCCTCTTCCCCAGCAGTGATGTGTGTCTGCTGGCCGCTCGAGGTGCCCAGACCAGCCTGCCTGCACTGCTGCAAAGGGCACCTAACACTTTGCTTTCCAGGCAGAAGTCATTTTTCTACAGGGATGCAAAGAAATCTGCAGGGGGCATGAATTCTGTACATGTGCAGTGATGCAAAATTCCCCCAGGCATAAGAGAGCTGACCGGTTTAGTTTCCCTGCCCAAGCCAAGTGGGAGAGGAGGAAGACTCAAAGCCAGACCTGATGTATTAGGGCAGGGGTGGGCAATAGGGATGTGACTAGCGGACTACCTGTCAAGCCTAGGCTTATCAGTAGTCCAGTTGACCAGTTGCTCCTCCCCCCCCCCTGCTGCCTCTGTTACAAGGGGGGGCGGAGCAGGAGCCAGTGCTGGGGGGAGCTGGCTTAAAAGCCCCACTGGCACGGGGTCCCCCGCTGCTGCACCTCTCCCTGTGAAATGTACAAGGGTCCCAGGTGGCTCGTGTACATTTCAAAGGCAGAGGAGCAGCAAAGCATCCCCCTTACCGGGCAGTTGATGGATCGTGGACATCTCGTGAGCAGTCATTTTCACGGGGGAGGGGGGATGACACTGCATTTTGGTACGTGGTCACAGGCTGGTTCCACCGTACCCTGGAAGGGCAGAGTCTGGAGTGGAAGGGGCGGGGCTGGGGACTTGTCCCCACCCAGAGTCGTCTGGGGCCAGAGGCTTTGAATTAAACACACAGCAAGGGGCTTGCGGCTCCCGGCCCTGCCGCTACCGCGTTGCTTGGCAGCCGCCTGGGATTGCTGCGGCTATTCAAAGGGCTTGCGGCTCCGGCCCTGCCGCTACCGCGTTGCTTGGCAGCCGCCTGGGATTGCTGCGGCTATTCAAAGGGCTTGCGGCTCCGGCCCTGCCGCTACCGCGTTGCTTGGCAGCCGCCTGGGATTGCTGCGGCTATTCAAAGGGCTTGCGGCTCCGGCCCTGCCGCTACCGCGTTGCTTGGCAGCCGCCTGGGATTGCTGCGGCTATTCAAAGGGCTTGCGGCTCCGGCCCTGCCGCTACCGCGTTGCTTGGCAGCCGCCTGGGATTGCTGCGGCTATTCAAAGGGCTTGCGGCTCCGGCCCTGCCGCTACCGCGTTGCTTGGCAGCCGCCTGGGATTGCTGCGGCTATTCAAAGGGCTTGCGGCTCCGGCCCTGCCGCTACCGCGTTGCTTGGCAGCCGCCTGGGATTGCTGCGGCTATTCAAAGGGCTTGCGGCTCCGGCCCTGCCGCTACCGCGTTGCTTGGCAGCCGCCTGGGATTGCTGCGGCTATTCAAAGGGCTTGCGGCTCCGGCCCTGCCGCTACCGCGTTGCTTGGCAGCCGCCTGGGATTGCTGCGGCTATTCAAAGGGCTTGCGGCTCCGGCCCTGCCGCTACCGCGTTGCTTGGCAGCCGCCTGGGATTGCTGCGGCTATTCAAAGGGCTTGTGGCTCCGGCCCTGCCAGGGCAGCCCCGTGACTGGGAGCTGGGAGCCATTTCAATACGATCCTGCTGCCTGAGCCCACCTGGAACTCAGCGGCACGGGCAGCAGGATAGAACTAGAAAGCGGCCAGATGCCATCCCGGGGCCGGATCCAAGTGTTAGGTGGGCCGGGTCTGGCCCCCAGGCTGCATGCTACCCAGCCTGTACTAGGGGGTCTGTTCTTTAACACAAACGGGGCTTGAGGATAAACCAGGCTTTACAGCTCCCCTCCTCCCAACATCACCAGGCTAAGCAGCTGCTGAATGTAGACAGCAGCATCCATCGAGAGAACGCCAGGAGTGCTGTGGACACGACTGAATGGAGCCCCCCTCCCGGTGAGGCAGGGAAGAAATCTCTGCTCCAGAAGCAAGGGAGACAAGGCACACAGATGGGGCGTTGCAGTGCAGAGCAGAAGAGCTGGGGTCCCACCCCACTGTCCTGCAATAGGGAAGAGGGCTGTGCTAGTTATGGGGTTATACGTAAAAGGCCAAGCTGCTACACAGAAGGCTGCCCCAACGTCACGTTCACTCCTTGGCCTGTGCCTGGATGGGGACATCAGCTGGCCAGCCCTTAGATGTGCCACCCGGCAGTCACACACCCCCAGCTGGCCCATGCCAGCTGACAAGGTAAGGGGCTATGGGACTGTGATGCAGATGTTCAAGCTCAGGCTCTAGGCCCCAGAGTTCAGGCTGCACCTCCGGATCCGTGCTGAGCTGCTAAATGCAGCAGACGCCCTTCGAGAGACAGCAGCATGGTGGTCACCTTGCTTGTCTGTATTTCGAGGGAGGCAGAGCGGACTAGTGCCCCGACTTCTCTTGATGTAGCCGTGTCCTCCACAGAGAGCCTCGTGAACCGATAACAGAATGCCAGCTTTCCGACCGGCCTGCACTTCGCTTCCGGAGCATGCTGCAGCATGGGGCTGCACATCGCTGCAGGGATCCTAGGCTTGCCGCGACAAGAGGGAGGGCTTGCTGCAATCCGTCGGTAGAGGACTATCCTGCTTATCAAACTGTCTTACTTGAGCCGGAAAGCAACCTGGCTCCCCCTTCCTGCGAGGCAGCTGGCGTATCGCTGTGTTGGAGAC